CCCCCCCCCCCCCCCCCCCCCCCCCAATTTGACTAACTGACTGCTGCTACCATGCCACCCATGGAATGGAAATATATGCACATCGATCTTCCATGAACGATAAGCAGCCATAAATCATCAAATTCGATAGTAAGTGTCAAGGACATCATGTTTGCATCACTGAAGCAGCTAGGAATAAAGCCGTCTCCATTTCAAAAATTCAAAAGGTGTAAAAGAAGTTACTTTTTTCTTATTTGGAAAGTTCGATTCAATTGCTAATTTTAATATATCTCTGCTTCATCCAGATATGCTCCTAAACAAATATATGACAGCTTCAAATTCTTTGGACAAAAAAAGTTTACAGTAATCATCACATACCAGAAGTTTTCAACGCCACAAGCAACTTCTCTGCAATAGAGTGAAGTAATAATCTCCCTAAGCACTTGAAGACGTTAGCTGCGAGTACAGTTGACGAAAGTTTTGTGATGTCTACAATTTCCAGCATCTGCAAAAGTTCCTCCTTCTGCTCACATTCACAAAGGGCCAACAAATAATTTTCTGTAACCACAGGTTCCAAATTGTTAACCAAACAGATTGATCTCCAAAAATATAGATCTATTTGTAAGACATATGCTTCACCAAAAACATGACAATAGCTTATCAAAAAAATCAAAACATTGTGAACGCATATTTCAAATCCATCATGACCTGTAACTAAGTAGTGATCTGACAAGTGATTGGAGAGAAGTCAAGTTCTGAGTGAGCATCTAGAGAGATTATGAGAAGAAATCTAGAGAGATTATGCTTTTGTCATTGTGGGTAACAGAAGCTGGGGAAGTAGAAACTTTCTGATCTTCCTCTTCGTAGTAGTCCGTGATTGATAAACAAAGAAAAGTTCAGTCAATCTCTTTAAAGCAATAGCTATAACCTTTATCCAGAAACAGTGATACAATGAAACCCACAGTGGACGCCAAAGGAGTTGTACAATACAGTTTTTTCCTATTATATATTTCTTTAACTTAGCTATTTAGTTTTCACTGCAAATACTAGACAAAAATCCAACTTCAAGTTCCACCAGGGGAGGTTCAAATCCCCACCATTCATAAAACTTTAAAAGTCACAAAACTCTCAAATTTAACTCTGAATTTAAATAAAATTTCTAGCAATTGTCCTACGTCATAGCCGACCCTGTTGTTAAAAAGAATGTTAAAAAGAATTTTGAGGTACTGTAGATCACCTCTACTTTAGCCAGGGGATATATAATCAGTTAGGAATATTAATCTTTTAGGTATTTTCCATGGGTATAGAAAGAGTTGGGAGAGAGTCTGACTATATACATCACTTTAGGCTGAAAATACCAAGGAGTTTTGTTATTCGCTATCATTCTTTACTTATGCTGTTTAGAGATCCTTCTGATTATCTCTGACACAAACAGACCCAACCTCCCTTCTTATTCATGCTAATTATCAACAGGTTGTTTCTTATCTTAAAAAATATATAATTTCCACAGAAAGCAGAACTTCTCAATCGTTTATTTAAATGCAAGAGGACAAAAGGGTTCAGCAGAAAAAACCGATGCATCTGAAAATTGTAGGACGTACCTTGTAAACTGTACTTGTCCACTCCATCATGGGCTATAGCATGCTCACAGAGCTCCTGAATTTTTTCTACATCATTGATTTTAACATAGAACAACATCTCATAGTAACCCAACCTTGAATTCGAGCCTGGATTTCCATCCTTTACAGCCTCACAGAAAAAATTAAATTCTTCCATCATGTCCATGTCAATTAAATATGTAAGAACTGGACCGTAAGTTTCATCTTCTAACTGAAAACCATGTTCTTTCATTAATTTAAATAGCTGATAAACCTTTGCAATCTGTTCCAATACAACCTCCAAGTCTTTACTTGTCTTAGCCTTCTCTAAACATATATCTATCAGTGCATTGTATTCTTTCACACCAGTTTCTCGTCCCAATTTACCAAAGACTTCTAAAGTAACATCAGTCCCCAGCTTCTGTGCACAATTTCTAACCAATTGATTAAACCTATAGTTTTGGCTATTTTTGAATATCCATTTTTGCTTTCTTTCACGAGATATTTCTCTGCGACGCAATGATATGCTATGATTGGACATGTTGGAAAACCATGGTATGTCTAATAATTGTTTCAAAGAGTTCTCATCACCATTTTCTTGTGCATCAGGAGACCTAACAGATGAGCCTTCTGCAAAAGGAAATAACGCGTAGGTAAAGCAGTTTACTTGGCAAAGAAACAAAAAACTACATTCAGATTGAACCATAATTGAAGGCAAGACTACAATATAAATCATAGCACTTGCATGAAAGTACAGATAAAATAACTCAACCAGATTGTATAACTGGACAGGAAATAAGTTCAATTGTTCACATTCCCCTCGTTCTCGGTACGATGAAATAGGCAACATAAAAATTTGAAACGTGAGATCCAAAAGGTGGCTGTTAAAGAAACCACTCTGATATTTTCAAAGTAACATATCCCTATTGTTTTATCAACAACTTAAGAATAAAACTACGTTGTGATGAATTCTAAAAATATTCAGAAGCAATTCCTACAACGAACATTCAATAACACGTACCGCACAGAATGGAAGATATGGCCTTGGTTAAATGCTTCATAGAATCCCCTGCATTCAAACATGATCTTTTGAGAGAATTAAAACTTGATAAATCAAATATCATTCACACATCAGTCCCTTCACTGCAAATGAGAGATAACTACAATAAAATTCATCTTCAGCTTAAAAAAAAACACTAAACCACCAAAACTAAGGCAAAAATAAGCTTTGATTGGAGATAATCTACAGCCCGATTACTGAAATAACAAAAAACAAGATGAATACATAATCAAACATCATAAAACAACATGCATACCAGACCCTGACGGCTCTTCTAAAATGAGAGCAGGAAATTGAACGTCAGAGTTTAGTTTCTGGGGAAGCTTCTTGGAGTTCGCGGACTTGATGGATCGTTTATCGAAGGCTTTGGAGAGAGAGGTGCTAGGAGAGAAGGGATCGATAGCGGAGACGTAGTTTTTGAGAGCTGCATCTTGGGGATTCTGTGAAGGTTTTGAAGCTATAATGGCGGAGCGGAATAGAGAGCTTAGATTTTTGGATTTGGACGGCATTTGAGATTCAGATTCCGAAAGCTCTGCAACTTCCCGGCCTCGGGCGAACTGAGCTGCGCCGCTGTTTTGTGGGGTTTATGGTTTTATCGGCGACGGCAACTTCCGATTACCGCTGGGTTCTGAAAAGTTACATTATTATTATTATTTTTTAATCTTATTAATATTATTTTCAAATCTTATTATTATTATTATTATTATTCATTTTATTATTATAATTACGAGGCTGTATTAATTAAAAAGCTTTAATAATACTCTTAAACATTTAAAAAATAAATAAACTTTATTTTAAAAATATCTTTAAACTTTTAATAATATTTTAAAAATATTTTAAATTTTTTTATAAAAATTATTAAATATTGGAAATATGTTATTTAAAAGTAATTTTGAAAATTAAGGATATATTTGAAATACTTTTTCCATATTTTTTAAATTATTTATCTATTTTAAAAGATATATTATTAATATATAAAATATTAATGTTTTGCACCAAAAACTGAGTGAATTTTTTTTAAAAGTTGGAGTATTTTTTTATTTTTTATTTTTTTAATTTAAAAGGTATAATTAAAAATTTTGAAAGATTAAAAATATTTTAAAGACAAATTACAAAACTTAATTTTTATTAATTCAGCTATTTTTTTTTTAAGAACCTTTGAATTTTTTTATTTTATTTCCTATAAATCTATAAAACTATGAATTTTCATATTCAAACATATGAATTTTCAATATTGTACCTAACAAGTCATTTCTTCACCTTCTCTTTTCGGCATGGTCCAGACAATCAAGCTAGCATATCAAATCATGGGTTCTAATTCCCAACATTGGAAGAGGCAAGTGAGTCGGTTGGTAGAATTGCATCATCTAACATATAATAAAAGCACACTTGCTTTTCTTGTTACACACTCTGCTTGTTAGTTGAAGCACCTGTGTGTTCTCATCTAAGAAAGATGTCCAGTACTCGCAAAGCGCACTTGTGAAGGACCAACGACAAGCTATATAGAGGATATTAACTATTCAATCGGCCTAATATAAAATCTAACTCCCTCTCCCACAACTCAAATTCACTCATTTTAAGTCATTTACCATATACCTCGACCTTTATGGACCCGATAGCAAAAAAGACTGCATATAATGTAACGTTTATTAAGAAGTTAGTTGGTTCGACAAATCAGAAAATGTAACTGCCTATTCCAGACTAACCAAACACATCAAAAAATCAAATGCAAACGACTTAAAACTCATGAGATAGCAAAAGGGTTACTTTCTAACATCCGTGAGGGTCTAGGCAGCTAGTATGTACCTCAACTATTCTCACGAGACAATCAACTAAATCTTAGATACCTCCGCCATGACTTGAATTCATTTCCTTTGAATCCGCTTCCTCTGCATTGACATGTATAGATCACAGTAGCCAAAGACTATATAATCAAAACCAAACAATCACAACTGCAGCAACCAATGGCCAGTAGCAGACAACTGAATCCATAAGAAATGAACTATAAATGGCCAAAGAGTTCAAACACCACACAAGCAACTCAGCTACCGCAGTACAAAATCCTAAGCACCTCAACCAAAACGTGAATCCTTTTCAAGTCCTTCACTATATACATTGAACTTAATTGATCACTGTCGCATAAGACTATTTATAATATAACTTTGATAAAGTAACATCAGTTCGAGAAGTCAAAAAATGTACCTATTGTTTTTAGATCAAATGAACACACTGGCAGATGACATGAAATAAAAGAGTTCCTTTTTCCTGGTTGAGATATGCTACTCGTCGTCTTTGTATGGGTACTCTTCAGGAATTTGCTTCAGTAATTTTACTTGTAATTCGAACATGTCGTCTCCTCTCAGCATGTCTCGTAGCCATGTTACTTCTGTTTTCATGGACACCTGACCCAACACCACAACACAATCAGAAAGTAACAAAATATCAGCCTCCAGATTTATAAGATCAAAGAAAAAAATTTATCTTTTAACCTTTCAATTTAACTAATCAAGTTTTCTTTTAAAAAACTTTAAAATGAAGACGATTGCTTACAATGTGGGTTCTTTTAGTTGTGTAAGTTAGATTTTCTAAGGAAGATTTGAGGAGTTTAGGATATTTTCCTCATTGTGAATATTTGTTCCATTTGTTGAATTCTGTGCCAGTTCTTAAGTGATTTGTCAATTTAGTTTTACGTAGACTTTAACCTTTTAAGTTCAAAGTTTAATATAACAAAATAAAAGTTCAAGGTAAAATTAAAAGTAAGGATAGAAATTAAATTTAAGATGTCGTAGAGTAGAACATTTAATGTATTTTGTACAATCATATGGCAGAAACAGTACCTTCACAAATACAGTTAATGTCCACTTTCATTTTAATGTGTTAGAAAGCAAGAACTTTTATAAATCTACAGGAACCGCATTTGGGAACCCTGTCTTGAAAATGATTTTAAAACACACAAATTCATATAAACCAAGTTTTGAAAAGATACCTCAACATTTTTCATGTTTACAAATTCAATATTGATCTTGATTATGAAGACTGAGTATTAAAAAACGAAATAAAATAAAAAATTTCCCCACAAAGCAAAGTGGGAGCTTAAGAAAAAGGCCTTGTAACATAAATGTTTTGCAGATCATGATTTTGAAGCCGAAGGAAAAACATTTTCTCCAAGGAATAATATGAAGTCGAAGAAATGAAAGAAACAAATTGAGAAGAACAAAATCAAGGAGAGCCATAATGGTGGGTGATAATATTAAGCAAGATTAAGAAAACATGCAGAGAACTCACCATCTCAAGTGCTCCTCTGATGACTCCACTTAAGATGTTGCAATAATGAAGACCTTGGCAAGTATCAGGAAGCTCAACAAAGTCTACTAATGGATTGTCCTCCAGAACAATACTGCAGCATGTGCCTTCAGCATCCCAGTTGGTCACCGTTGCATTCACCCCCAAAAACATTTTTAAACCGACCTAGTAACAAAAACCATTCCAAATGAACAGTAGTCTAGTCAATGTCATGTAGAAAACAGTAAGTATTACCATTTTAGTCCTATGATTAGTTTGCGTGAGGCTGCAATAGTTCGGATGTCTTTAAATGTTTCAATTTGGTCATTGTGGTTTTGTTAAATTTCTGAAAACATCTATGGATTGGCAGTTGTCTAATGTGACATGTTTTCTTTGGCAAGAGGCATGGTGATGGGTTGGTGTCCAAAGAGGATGTGCCGTGCAAGAAAACTGTTAACATTTATCGAATCCAAGGATGTTATGAGCGTTCTAATCGAACCATGGACAAAACTGAAACCAAACACAATCATTTAAAAGAAGAGAAAGGGCTCTGAAGCCTGATAGGTCTCAAAATGACTATTGCCTCATGCAAACAAAGGAACTGAGCTGTATACATATTCATGAGCGTTTTCCTTAACTAATTTCATGAGACAGCCACGTAGCCTTACAATATTTGGTTGTTAGCAAACTCATAGAATTTTAATACATGGGTAGGTGATAAACATGAGTTTTCAAGAAAATAATCTAGTATCCCCTGCTCTTAAAAAGGATTGGAACTCTGATTTCACACGGTATATTCTAGGCCAAAATACCAGATAAACCAGAATACCCAATCATGATTGCTGCTACTGTCTAATATATATACCCTCACCCAAACAGATCCCTAACAAAAACTTATACTTGTGTCCGCAATTACTAGATAAGGCCCAGACTCAGCACATTAGAAATGCTCACTCCCACTCCCAATAACCAACTACTCATTACCTTTTGCTACCTTGCTCCTCTATAGGTAAAGTGAACCGAGGGACAAACATTCTTATCAAGACCTCCCATATAAGAGAAATCTTGCTTAATGGTCAAGTCATGAACATGAAATCCAGTGGAAACAAAAATTCAAATGGACGTGTAGTTAAATCCATTCTAGCTAACTGCAAAAGGCCAGTTGCATCAGACTATATACACTGTAATCAAACGCTACCCCTCAATTGCAGGTAAAAAATTTGTCTAGTGCCAAGAGTAGCAGTGTTCTTACTCACGAGGCAAACCAAAAGTGGTATAGACCAAATTAAAGTTTTTTAATTAAATGAAGATTTATTTTTATATTTGTTAGTATCTGAATCAGCTTACGCACACCTAGACTATTCTCACGAAATAACCACCGACCCTATTACATTTGGGTTCCAAAGTAACTCATAGTATGTTAAATCTTAGATAGGTGGCCACGATGATTTGAACTCATACTCTCTTAGCCTTTTTATATTAATACAGTAAGTAATAAACATGTCCTCGAGTTCGGGTGGTAAGGAGAATCTATCAAGTGCTTCATACGGAAAAATATCAGCAACATTGAAAATGGGATTAATATGTAAGTCAGAAGGAAGCATGATCTTATAAGAGTTGGTATCAAGACGTTGTAAGATTTTGAAAGGTCCAAGCTTGTTAGTTCTATGAACCAATTGGCAAACGAGACTTCTTAAGATGAACCTTAACCAAATCGCCCACTGCAAGGTTAGTAACTCGTCTTTTTCTATTAGCTGTCTTCTTGTAGTCCAAGTTAGCTTTTTCAACAAGTTTGAACATCCTTATGTAGCTCTACCACACGTTCAGCCATTTATTCCATTTCCACATGACGGTAAATTAGAAAGATCCACAGTTAACCTAGGAAGTTTAGTAATATACTCTCTCCAATGGAAACTTCCCTGTGGATCCGTTCTTCACATGATTGAAGGAAAATTCAGCTTGTGCTAAGGAAAGGCTCCATTATTTGGGATGTTTTCAGCAGTAAGACGGTGTATAAGATTCCCCAAAGATCAATAAGTAACTCTGGTTTGGTTATCTGTTTGTGGATGGCTTGTGGTACTGTATTTGAGAGTAGTATCAAATTTCTTCCGGTGTTTGCAGAAAATGACTAAAAATTTTGATGTCACAATCCGAGAATGTTGTTTTAGGGATTCCATAGAGACACACGAATTCCCTCGAACAGGTTAACATATACAAGGCACCATTAGTCTTTTTTGCAAGGAAGTGTCACTTTACTAAGCCTGTCCACCACTACAAAAACTGAATCAAACAGTCTTAGTTCGAGGGAATCCTCAGACAAAGTCCATAGACAATTCCTCCCATGTAGATGCTGGT